TTTGCAGACATAGCTGTTTGGGCTGTGTGGGTCACACACATGATTAAACTTTCTCTCCTTCAACTCTTCAAACTGACTGCAGAGAAATCGTCCACAAGAAAGCCATCACAAAAATGCTGAGTTCAGTTTTAAAAACGTTTAATTGAGGATTAAAATGAGCAATTCTATTTTGCAAAAAACCACTTTATTATTTCAATATCCATATATTTATCTTCTAGCCAGTTATAGACAGAGAAGGTTAATTGAAGAAATGCCTTCTAATTTTCTCAAACTAACTTCAAGGACAAATACCACACAGATGGCTAATTTGCAACAGTGAAGATAATGATAATGAATTTTGTTATTAAATTTTCAATTATATAGCATCTGTCTTTTCCATAAAGTGCATTGTTAAATCTATCCATAACCCAGTCTATATGTATATGCATTTTTAATACATACTGAAGGTGGTTATCTTAACTGTTAACAATTTTTATACTCATCCTTTCTGATTATCTGTCGTTCTAGAAGTTAGAAAAGTATAAGTTCCTATTCAATAAAAATGTACTTTAAAGTAAATCATATGTAAGATAATCTTTCCAAGCCCTCCTCACCAAAAAACAAAAAGAAAAAAAGAATCTGCCTTTATCTCTAAACTATAAACAATATAAACAGATTTAATCATTGAAACAACTTAGAGTTAATGTATTTATTTGCTTGAGATTTATAGTATGCATTTGAAAGCATTTAGCTATTAGATGGAGGTTATCTGTTCTCTTTCAAAAATGACATTTAAAATGATTATTTGCTACAACCTCCGTATCAGTGCAATTGGAAATCTTGTGAGTGTCTTCTGTGTGTAGGACTCTGTGTAAATATGAATATAATTCGGCTCGTAAGTCCAATGAAGAGGCAAAAACTAAATGTCTCCAGAGTGTTAGGGAGAATGATGAGATACTTTTCAAAGATTAGGGCAGGCATAGAACAACTAGTTAAATCGACCTATCTGGTTTCCTAGGGAAAAAAAAAGAAAAGAAAAGGTCAAGACAGAATATGTATGCCTTTTCTTTTTTAAAAACCATTGGTCTAAATAACAAAGTGAAGTCATGCAAAATAAAGCATGGACATTTTCAGGAACATTGTGTAGATGACCACTGCTAAATCAATTATACTGTACTCTACATCCATCACCGAGACAGCCAAATAAATGGCTGGGCTGCATTACAGTCTGCTAATTTTCCACATACACCTTCAATTGCAAAACTACAATTTCTCTGTCACAGGTTTTCTATTCTGTGCTTTAAACCATGCTTTGTGGTATTTTCTGTCGTTCCTTAATTATGAGTCCTGCCTTGGGACTTCACATATTGTGGGTACCTAAGATAGTCTGATTGAATGGCTTCTTCACTTATTCATGTTATTTATCATTGTTAAATACCAATTACCTTCTTTGAAGCAAAGGAAGAATTCTACTCCTTTCTGGTTTAAAAAAATTGCCTCCTAGGCCAACAATATGCTTGCTGCCCCTAAGTGAATCATTTAGAGTCTGTCATTGCCATTTAGCTATACATTTATTCATAGGGAAATTTTAAAAATTGAAAGACATGTAGCTAAAAATTAACCTCAGTAATTATGGTTTCAACAAAGAGAAGATGCAATCGTTAAAAAACCACTACTCCTGTGTGCATGCACGTGTGTGTGTGTTCATGGGTACATGCATGCAAGTGCATACACAGAACTCCTCCAGGCACTGTGCTGTGTGCTTCATACATGCCAACTTCTTCGATTCTCTCAACCACTCTATGGGATGGGTGCTATACTTATCCTAAATTTATAGGTGAGAAAGCTGAGATGTGGAGAAGATAATTTTCCAAGGTCACGCAGCTACTCTTGACCTAGCTAAGAACTGAAGCGTGTCTGTTTTGACAAAGCCAGAGAGTTCGTTGGAAAAACCCACAAATGGCCTTTCCAGCAAGAAGCCGTGGGCGTCTACTTTGTTACTTTACTCTCCTGTGAAAGAAGAGAATTAGACTAGCTGAGGTCTAAGGGCTTATCAAACTGCAGTGTTTTTTGATCATTATTCTTTTTAAGGAGAGTAAAACAAGATTATGTCTTTTCTGACTCTCCTCGAGCCTTCCAGCCTACATAAACTGATTCATGTATTTGAAGCTGATGGAAAAGTTCCCATATGACAGTCTGCTCAATTTGGGAAGCAGCTCTCCCATCATTTAAGTCAAAGTTGGTGAGGATTTTAGTCATGTGACTATAAATTTGAGCAATTTACATGAAATACGTAAATAAGAACATTTAAATTATAAATAAGAATACATTTTTAATAGGATATGTTCTTTTAAAACTGATATGTTCAACTAAGCTATGCTTCTTTACCCAATACTCTGCAGATTATAGATAGATGTTCAATAAATGTTTGTCAAATAAAATTAACGTGACAAGGTGATTTTTAAGCACTAGTTTACATAAAGGACTATGATTAAAGATGAATTTATATCTAATGTCGGTAACATATTTTACCATTTAAGCTCTGTTTCTTGTCATTTGTTTTGTTTGTTTCCAAATTACCTTATTAAGAATGATAGATCAATGAAAATTTCCTAGTTTGTAACCTCTGATATAAGACCAACATTTTAGGATTACAAACATACACATAAATGTGTAACAACCTATTTTCTTTAAGCCTCTAATCCAGTAACCACAAGACTAGGTATAGACTTGGAAGTCAAAAGGGGGTAGGGAGGGAGGGACCGTGCATTCTTAAGGATTCATTAGGTCCTTGTTGTTAATGGTTTGTAAAATGGTCAGGAGATGAGATTCTGGGGAATCTTACTTATTGGATCTGTCTAGTAGAAAATCCATTTTGAAGGAGTATTGTGGGTAAATAGTTATTTATGCAGTTTTGTGGAGTTTTTGAGTGATAAATCTGAAAGGACACTTAGAGACCATGAGTAGTGAGTCACATCCCTAAAGTGCCACAGTAATTCAGCAGCAGAATAAAGACAGAAATAATTAAAACATCCTTATTCCCAGCTTACTTATCTTCCCAATGTCATGCACTCATAGATTCATTCATTGACTCATTCATTAATTTATTCCAAAGCATTTATTGTGCATATACCACATTCTAAGTATTTGAACTAAGCAAACATGGCTTCTGCAGTGGTTGACTTTATGGCATTTTGACTTTTCTTCGGTAAAAAAGTATAATTACATTACAGAATCAAATTTGAGAATACATGCTTTGTTAATGAAAGAGACTTAGATGAAAATTAATATTATTCTTTTCTATATTTCCATAAATTGTTGAGTATTTTGATTAATGCGTGTTTACAGAGCAAGTTCCTTTTTCTACTACACTGTTAAAGATTGATTAATCATAAAAAAAATTCCCCATGAAGTTTCTCAAATTCCAGCGATGGGAACAGAGAGGCATCTTGGAGAAATGGGCACAAGGTTGTCAAGCAGTAATTTGTAAGTTTTTGTACACCATAAAAAAAAATTCCAAGTTAAAAGAAACAGGGATTAAAGGTCGGCCATCCATCTCTCACTGAAGATTTTCTTCCTCTATTACCAAAACTTGTAGTTGTAAGAGAGCAGTTTCTTCTTCAAATCTCAGCAATGCTATAAACCAATGAGATTGGTATTAAATACTCATTGCCAATTATTTTATTACCTTGTGGTTCTTTCATCTCTACCCAGACCAGATGTTTGATCTCCTACTCTTTATAATGAAGACATGTAATACTAAACAGTGTCTCTCAAGAGAATTTAAAGTTCAAGTGCTCCTTCCAAATACGTGTATGTTTGAATTTTAAAATAGGAGTAAGGGTCAAACCAAAAACCAGAAATTTTAAACAATAAAATTTCAGATCCTGATAGTTTTATAAGGAATGAGTTCGCAGGACAGAATAAATTTGAAATCATACCGCTCATGAATAAAATTAGCATTCTGTGTCAAAATGTCTTTCTAGGTGGTGGAGTCTACTTCTGCCTACTTTCTTACATTGCAGTGTATACAAGCATAAATATATAAAGTCACTCTTCAGATTAATGTATGAATTGAGTCATATGATAGTTATTTAATAGATAAAATAGACAAAAATAGCCTCTATTTGGCATCATGCTTAATTAAGATTTTGACATTTAAAAATTTTGCATATTTTTGACTTTTAAGAAAAAATTCTTAAAGGTTCATATTCTGTTGTATTTACAATTATATAGTTAATTGGTTTTGAAAAATTGATACTTATTGGATAATTGATAGATGCTTTGTTCATTAACTGGTCTTTGTTTAGCTAAAGGTGGTAATTTTCTAATATAAACACATCAAGAGAAGACATATTATTTAATTTTTTGAGCTATTTTCTTCCTTCTGGGTCTTTTGTTGTACTTTTTTCTTTCTGTGTTCTTCCTTCTGTCTAATTTAACTCTGATCACACAAGCCCTAACACCTGGGAAAATATAAAGCAAAGATGAAAAGTACTCAGAACAAAGCAGAAATAACTAAAGGTTACAAATAAAATCAAAAGGAATTAAGTTTATTTTTAGATCAGACAACTGAAGGCTGAAAGTGGATTTAAAGTACTATTCAATTAAGTGTGGGGTGTGTGTGTGTGTTTGGGAGGGGTTGTACATGATTACCCAGGCTATTATAGAACAAGAAAGTGAAAACGAACTTGCTCCAGCAAATGAAGTTTGTCATTGCGAAGTGTTCTAGTCTTTGGGGCTTTGAGAATATCTTTTATTTCTAAGTTCTGCTGTTTACACTTTATGTGACAATCTGATGGAGAGAAATGAGGGCGAAGAAAGAGCAACTGAAAAGACAGAATGAGAGTTCCTGGACAGGAGCAAGTTGGTTTCCCCAGAGTTTGTAGCTGATAGAGAGATAGACAGATGTTAATGCATGGCAGTCACCGTGGATATATTATGTGGGGAAGCAGAGAGCCATCGAGGGACTTGTATATCAAGATACCCTGCATTTAACCTGGTGAGCACACTCCTTAATAACTATCTGGGTTTGTACACTGTGTTCTATTAAAAAAAAAAACTTGCTTATGGACTAGCTTACTTTTTTTTTTTTTATAACCCCAATACATTATTCTGCACACACAGCTCAAAAATGATCATTTTTTCCCCTGTGCCCTGATTGGCCAAACATACATACGGTGGTCCATCTTAACATGAAACTGCCTTTCTACTTTACTTTCATCCATCCTCCAGTCACCTGCTCCCAGGTCACCAAGTTGGAATGCAGCAGGAAAGCCTAGGGCTGTTACAACCGGGAGGTGTGAGTCAGGCAGGGGGTTGCTGGACTGTGAAGCATCAAGGACTATAGTTGGAGAAGGGAGAGGGGAGGCAGGAATCAGATTTCCTGGCAGGGCGAAATGTATCCTGCACGGTAGTAATTGCAGGGAATCCAGCTTACCGCCTCAACAGCCACTCACCTACACCGTCTCCTCCCCTGTCTTCTAACTGGACCAGCAGTTAAACAGCTGTAAAGCCTCGTCTCCCTGTCTCATTTTTCCCTGAGCTCCAACTGCAAGAGTAGCAACAGCAGCTGGAGAAGCGGCAGCCAGAGATAGGCAGGGCTGTTGCTAGCAGCCGCGCAGATCGCCTCCTCCTCACCACACACACACACACACACACACACACACACACACACACACACCGCAGACTTCCAATAACAACGCGTCTTGATATACATCAAGGACTAAGAGAAAGGAGAGAAGAGCGTTAGTCATGGACAACAGGTATTTCATCCCTGACAAATTCAGTCTCCCGATGCTTATTGGTGCGGGTCATAAAATAACCCTGTGCGATGGCTAGCCGGAGTGGGAGACAGGAGGGCTGGAGGTGGCCGCGGCGGAGAAGGGGGAGATGAGGTGGGAGGAGTGAGAGGTGGGGAAGGGGGATGCCAGAGATGACTTTCAGGCTCCGGAAACCTACGTGTTCCAGCCTCCGCTGTTTTTTGAGTTGCAAATGATCAGGGCTGGTGAACTGAAGGCAGCCTGTGTTGTAGATTTCCATCTCCAGACACTAGTTCCAACGGGCCGGGTGTTCTGGAAGGGGGCGGCAGCAGGGAGGAGGATGCTGTGAGTGGAGTTGCTGGCGCTCCACTCCTGGGGAGGCCGAGCTGTGTGGGAGCCTTGCGACGGAGCCGAGAGCGTGGGGGATCGGGAAGGATCCCGAGCGCTGCCGGTCCCGGCTCCTCTCGGGTGAAGCGGTTGCCGTGGCTCCGGGGATGCGCCCAGCCTGCGCCTGCATCACGCTGCAGTAAGTTACACTGGACATGCCTGGCACATTGAGCGGCTTTCTGGGTGTGCGGAGCGGGGGAAGGGAAGCGCAGAAGAAATGGCGAGGAAAGTTAGGAAGGCGTAGCTTTGATTGTCCGCGACAGGCTCGTCGCCCTGACTCCTGTCCCAGTTGTGCAGTCGTCGGGTCACTCGCCGTTCGGTGCAGACGGACGCCGCTTGTGTGTGAGGGATGCAGAGTGGTGCCCAGTCCGTCGTGATTTTAGGCAACACCACTGGGAAATGTGCTCTGATTTAATTCCAGGAGTCGTCTCCAGAAAGTTACTGAGGAGATAGCAGCTTGCTTTTTCAGAAGACGATCCATAGAGAGGCTGGCTTAGACTTCCAAATGCCCTAGTTAATTGCTGCAAGTGCCAGTCCAGATTTATTCCTAATCTGTGAAACAAACAGGCAAGCAAACAAACAAAACAAAAGTCTTTGGTTTACCCAGTAAAATGAAAACAGCGTGTGAAGTAGGTCTCCAGATAACTGCTAGGCAACAGCCCAGGCGACACTGATGATATGATAAACATTCAAATATTCTTTAGTGGTAGCATGAAGAGGGTTCCCCAGTTTCTTCCTGCTGCAATCATCTCCTCCGCTTGCTAAACAGCCTCTTCCCTGTGATTTTAAAGTGGTGATTTTAACATAGATGGCTCTATACTTAGAAACCAAGCAGCATTGTGTTCACTGGCAGAACATGAAGGCTTAAAAAACTTTTAAAAAAACAACTTCAACTGGTTGCCCAAATTGCAGATAACCAACTATTTTAAAAACAGGTCAGCAAGGGCCAGTCCATTGTAAAGCAAATGACCAAATCAACATGAATGCAGGCAGAATACTAAAAGTCTTTTCTAGAAGAGAAACAAGAAATAATTTATCTAAAAATATTGAGGTGTCTAACTAGGCCCTCTTACATTGACCAGATGTCTATAATGGGGGGAACAAAGGAAAAATAAAATACCTCAAGTAGAAAGTATATAGTAAAAATAATGTTAAACTTGGACTATCATTGAAGAAAATAATGTATTATCACATTTTTCTCCAAGAATGATTATTGAGAAAACGGAAATTACCTAAAACAGAATCCAAGATTCTAAACTAGACACTTCCATATGCTGGCACAAATTATAGGATAAGGAGGCTTTAAAACTTATAAAACAACTATTGTGAAATACAAAGTAATTCTGAAATCCTCTGTCATTAGGAAGCTGAGGCCCACTCTTATCCTTTAATTTCAGTTTCAAATTTTATTAGTTTTTCTCAAATCTACCTAATCTTATGATTTTACTAAGGATTAAACATGTCCAGAATGTAATTCAAGTTATTTGGACTAATTTTCTACTCATCTTGGGAATCTCCAGATATAAAGGGTTATTTACTACTTTTGGCATTTTTGGAGTGCCTGATTTGTTATAGGAAATCCATTCCATACTTGTAGTTTCTCTATATATGAATTCTGCATGTGACTTTCTGAATCACAGAGTAAAACATAATTTAGGAGACATATTCGCTATAATAGTGCATACATGAGGGAGATTAAAAATTTTGGACAGCAATATAAAAGGAAATGAAATGTCTGTAAAGATCAGAAGAATATAACTGGAGTGAGTTTGTAAGTGGTTCCCTGATGTTGTAGAAAAGACCACTACCTGAACCCTTGGCATTTAGCTAAAGAGAAAGTGAGGCCGGGAGCAATGATCAAAATTTGTCAAAATTTCTTTAAATATAGAACTTAAGTAGGTAGAGTTGAGTTGTGGCAATCAATGACTTTGCTTTATACTTTTCTTATCTTACTGGTAAACAAAACTCATGGTATGTCTGGAAAGATGATCAAAATTGTTTTTGAGATAAAAAAATTATTTAAATTGTGTTAACATTTGGAACCTTTGCTGGGACAGTGTCTGAACTAGGCATGTGTCCTATGACTCATGCTTTTCCTTGCACGTGATTGAAAGAAGGAAGAGTTGTAGCCAGACAGGCCAGACAAAAACTACTGATCCCTAAATCTAATTCTGCCTACTAATAATGACTATGATGTGAATTATAGGCTAGAAATGATATTTTAAGATTATTCTTTGCTGAATGCTTCTCCTGGAGAGGCTGGCCTCAGGAACAGAGCTGTATTTATATATGCATGGCACTGTTGCAATATTCTCTTAAGAGTAGTGCCTCTAATCCAGGAGCACCTGGCTAGAGGAAGCTCTAAGCAGAATGGTGAAGAGACCTCTTCCTATTGCCTCTCTCCCATCTACAGCATTTTCTCTTTCTCTTGTAATCACCAACACAAAAGCTGACCTCAAGTAAGAGTCCAATGCACCTGTTTACCCTTAGATATTAACTATGAAATAGGTTCAACTCCTGATGGATCCCTAGATTATTTCCATGTATGATTTGCTCACGACACAATTAATGAGTAGTTGGCAGTTATTCTGAGTGGAGTATTTGCAGGTACTGCGTCAAGCACTTTGATTATGTCCTCTCATTTATGGTATAACTTACAGAAGGGAGATAACATTCTTTCCCTTCAGAAGAAACTTAGCCCCAGAGGGAATAAATACATTTCTGAAAGCAACATATTTAGTAAATGGTGGAATAAAACTAGCCCCCAGTTGTGACTTACTCTTGATCACTTTGTTACTTTTACAAATTAAAATGGTCTTCTACTGTGGATCAGGTGGGGTAAGTGTATCATTTTATAGATGCAGTAGATCAGGAATGCTTGAGAAATTGTACCAGTTAGGAGAGCTCTCCCTACTCTGATGATATTCAAGATTGGATTTCCCTAAACTGTAACTTACATTGACACCAAATTCAAACTTGGCACACTCACCATTCCAAGTTCAGACTTTGCTTTGGCTATAAAAACTGTGGAGATGTACTTGGAGACGTTGCCAGGAAGGAAGATGATGGAGTTAACGTGGGAGAAGAAAAGTTGGAAGATTCATAAACAAAGGAGGGATAAAGAGAAAATAAAGGGATCACATGGTGGGAGGCTAGTCTAAAAATATGTCCAGATTTTTTGTCCTGAGGGACACTAAAGAACAAACTTTGTAGGCTGTGTGTGGGGTGGAGATCTTTAGTCACAAATATAGCACAGACTCAAAACTTCTCTAGTGGTAAGGTCTGATTATAAAAGTTAGAATAGACTTGTCGTCATTATCTTCTTTACATATGTTTTTTAAGAGAAAAAAACATGATGATTCAAAGAAAGTTGGGGAGAAAAGCCAGATGATGACTGAAGAGGTAAAACAATAATTGGAAATATCACTGGTTCTTGCATAATCATTTTCTGAAAATTTGCCAGGAAGCAAAAGGCCATCTTTAACTGGTAAGGATAAAAACAAAATGGATCATTTAGGTAAAATGTGAAGTGTTACGGTGACTAACATGATTACTGTCACTTGTCTTCCTATCACAGAAGACAAACACTAACAAGGGATAAAATGAAAATGTTATAGGCATAGAGCCAAACAGTATTTTAAGATTGGTCTTTCTCAGCATGCTAAATTTAAACAGCTGAAATTCTTTTTTAAGGATTATCTGAGTCAACAATTTGAAATGAAGGTTTTGCCTTTAGCAGGGAGTTTGTATTACATTGTAAATTTGAAACACAATGTCCTTGACTCAGTTATTTTTGATTGGTGATAGGCCAATTACGATGGATTCAAGGAGCACAAAGGCTATTACCTTCAACATTAGAGAATAAATGAATAAGTTCTATGAGCAAAGGTGATGCTCCTGAGCTATTGTCAGCTGCTTTGTGATGACAAAGCTCTGCAAACACAATCACATTGTATTCATGCTCTTGTCACCTGTGATGCTTCAGATTGGGGCTGACATAGAGTGAGTTTTTGGGGGTTGATTTTTGAATGTGGTGCTTAGGTTGACTCTCTTGTCCATTGGCTTTTCCCTCTTGTAGTTTAAAAATAATGATAGTCACTTTTATTGAGTGCTTCATTACATGCTAGTTGCTTTTATAAGCACCTTGCGCATTTAATCTTGACAATACCCTTATGGAATAATGTTAATATTATCCTCATTCTCATTTTATAAAAGGGTAAACTGAAGAACGACAAGGTTACAAACTGATAAGAGTAGAGCTGGAACTTGAACCCAGGCTGTCTGGCTCTAGAGACCAGACTTTTAAGGCTCCGTGTCTGCTATTAACTATCACTGGCTTCTTATAAGCCTGCACAGGCCATGCTAGGTTGCAACGTTTTTGTCTGTATTTACACTTGTCTCTCTGTTTTTAAATTACTTGTTAACACTCAAACTCCTCTGCCTTTGCATTTTACCTGATAATGCATTTATATCCCTTATGCTTCTGATGTGTTTCTCCTGCTAATTCATCTTTTTTCCTTAAGCTTCTACTCTTGTATCATGACACTCGGTTGTTTCTGTTTGGTTGCTACCACTCACTGGCCCAAGGCTCCTTTTCTGTGGTTCCACTGAAACTT